CAGCGTCCGCCCCACAGCTCCGTACCCCTGCGCCCACCATCTCTGGCTCCCTGACTGCCTTCCCCTCAGAGAAGGGTGGGAAAAGGAGAGACACCTACTAGACTGCAAGGTGCGCTCCCTGACCTCCGGGGTGAAGGCCCCCAGGCCCAGAGCCGAGCGGGCGGCCAGCCGGAAGACATACTCAGTGTTGGGCTTCAGGCCTTCCAGAGTGAAGGAGGTCGTTGGCTCGAAGTTCTTCTGCACCTGAGTTGGGCGAGGGGGGAAGAAAAAGAATAAAAACAAACAAAAAGGAGCAGAGCGAGCCCTGCCCGGACGCCTGCCCTACTCCCCCTCTTGCTGGAATGCTCCTCGGGGCCCCAACCCTCTGTGCTGCTCCTCTCCAGACTCACCTCCCTGCCGTGGTCTCCCTCCTTGTAGAGCAGCTCGTACTTCACGATGATCTCCTGGCGGGGAGGGCTCCAGGACAACACGATGCTCGTCTCCGTCTTGGCTTCTGCTCGGAAGTTCATTGGCTGCCCAGGAACTGGCACAGAGAGGAGCCAACAAGGCAGAGGAGGTGAGAGGAGGGGCAGGAGTAAACGACGTTAGCTAATTAGAAGAATCCCACCCTGTTTTCTTCAAAGCCTGTGTGTGTGAAGAGCATGCCAGCAGCAGAATGCCACGCTGCAGGGTGGGCAGGCCCTTCCCTGAAAGCAGTGGAGGGTTAAATGCCACTGCAGGACTCCAGCATGTCCAGAGCTGTGGAGATGGAAGAGTCCTTCTGGACCTTGACGGTGCAGGACACAGCCCTTCCAAGTGATCCCCAGTATTGGAGTCTCCAGGTGGGAAGTCCCCAAGCAGCCCATTGAGGAGGCAGGGTTTCCTCACCAGCACCCCACGCCAGAAGCAGGGCACACTAGTGACAGCCTGGGATAAAACCCCCTTTTGTTCTCAGCTCAACACATCTGCTGTGACAGCTCAGGCTCCCCTTCTAGAAAAGGCAAAAGAAGGTTCCCCACGCTTCTGAGAACATGGCTCCTGAGTACTGAAGAGTGAAGCTTCACCATGGCCTGGAAAGTGTTTTTAGGTCTATTAAAGACATTTAGAAACTGGAAGCAACAAGACACCTCACAATGAAACACGGCACAGCAGAAATGAGTTCTCTTGGCATAATTGCTTACCCCACCCATTTAAGTAACAACCTTTCCAAGAAAAAAAACCAGATCAGAAACGATGCACCAGGCCCTCTGGCTCCAGCCACTGGACAAAGCTTCCTCCCAGAAGGCTACTTCTACTTTAAGCAGATGGAAGCAATGAACTAAAAAATGCTCTTGTGACAGAGCTGGTGTCCTGGTTCTGTGTAAAAAGGGGTTCAGGGCAGGACCCACACGGAATAGAACTATGTACTCGCCTCTCTCCCCCCCCCCCCCTCGAGAGAGAGAGAGAGACACTTTTAAAAAAAATTGAAGTATATTGTTCAACAAGGAACAGAAAACGAAAAAGGGAGGTAAGGAAAATATTATATACAAAGATTAGGGGAATAATACAAAAGATAAAATATACAAAACCCTCAGAAATGGTTCCAGGGTCCCACGGAGTGAAAGGAGAACTTGCCTCTCCGAGCTCCAAGGCAGGAGTGAAATAAGAAACCACTCCCTGCCTCTTATCAGAGTGTGTGTGGGAAGGGGAGGGAATACAATGGTTCACCCCCACCCGGGGTCCTCCCAGTTGCTGAAAGGTCACGCCCCCATTCCAAGCCTCAAACCACAACAGCTGGCTAGAGCCATAGGCCGAGGTCAGTGACACTCACCTCCTTGCTGCGTCTTAACCTGGATGGGGTCGGAGAGGGGCCCGTCGCCCACGGAGGTGAAGGCCAGGACCCGAACCGTGTAGGTCTCGTCCTCGAGGAGGCTGCCCACGGTGGTCAGGAGGCTGTCGTCCACGTTGTGCTTCTGCCAGTTGCTGACGGGCTGGTCGGGCTCCATGGTGTAGTACACGCGGTACCCCCGGATCTGCCCGTTGGGCTCCACTGGTTCCTCCCACTGGATGATCATGGTGGTGCTGCTCAGCATTCGCCCCTGCACGTTTCGGGGGGCGCTGGCGGGAGCTTGTTCCCCTGTGCGAGTGACCACCGACTCGCTGGGAGGCCCCTGCCCGATGCTGTTGACTGCAGAGACCCAGATCTCGTACTCGGAGTTGGGGCTGAGCCCCCCGATGCTGTACCGCGTGGTGGTGATGTCCTCTTTGATCTGATACGGCCCGTCCTGGCTTTTAGACTTGTATTCAATGACATAGTAGGACACAGGATCTGGATTCCCAGAGTCCCAGGTGATGGTGATACTTGTTGCTGTCGTCTCCGTCACCACCGGCGTCCCGGGAGCCTTGGGGAGTGCTGAGAATCAGGAAGAACAGACATTTCAAAAAACCCCACGTATGCTGAACCTGTGACTA